CTCTACATAAAATATAAAAAAGGGATGAGATGTGGCTCAGTGGTTAAGTGCCCTCAGTACCCACCCCCAAAACAGCAGTCTATTATATACATGGAAAGAATCATTTACCCAAATGTTTTAAATTTAAACACCACGTGTTGAGTATTCAGAAAATCTTTGATGAGTTACACATATCTAAATGTCAACACATTTCATCCAATATTGAAAAATCACAATGATTACTATTATCAAACATCTCATTTAAAAAAGTTCTAGTGGACTGGATATGGTGGTGCACACCTATAAATCCCAGCTACTCAGGAGGCTAAGCAAGAGGATCCCAACTTCAAGGGCAGCCTTAGGAATTTAGCAAGACCCTGCCTCAAAATAAAAAAAATATTTTTTTGCGTCCGGGGTGTGGTTCAGTGGTACAGCACTTGCCTAGTATGCGTGAGGCCCTGGATTTGATCCTCAGCACATCATATAAATAAATAAAATAAAGGTATTGTGTCCATCTACAACTAAAAATTATATTCAAAAATATTTTGGGGATGTAGCTTGTAGCTCAGTGATAAAAGTACCCCTGGATTCTATCCCTAGTACCTCCAACCCCCACCCCCACCCCCACCCCCCCCCCCAAAAAAAAATTCAAGTGGTAGGAAGGTGTCAAACTCCTGGGAACAAATACTTTTTCCAAAATTCAAATATTCACTTGAAAATCCTATTGGCAGTTATTATCTGTTGTTTTCCTTAAACGGTATCCTATTGTTCATTTTTGACAAAATGGACAAGCACAGTTTATCTGCTAGATAGTCTTTCAAATAAAAATGACATTCCACATACAAAATGGCTAGTTCAGCCTGCCCTAGAGGCTTCTTCCTCCAGAGAGCTAATGTTTTCACTATGCCTCCCAAGCACTTCCGGCATACTCCACGCAGCCATGGGGAATACCGCAAGATCTGTAGCCAGGGGTTCAGATCTACTTAGTGTTTTGTACTGCTTCATCAAGGTTATCATCTAGTGAAATGTGGTTTCGGTTACTCACCCTGAGACTGTGGTGCTGAACAGGTGGCACTAGTGTAGGTTGGGGTCACTGCAGTTTACCCACCACTGCAAATTCAGCCCAGTGAAAAGGTAAATGGCATTTCAGTGTCACTGCAAAAATACTCTGTACCTTAGGTTACCTGAGAGCACCCTGGTGAGCATGAGAGGCTCAAGGTCCAGGCTGGGGGTGGGGACCCTCTGCAAGCACTAGACTGATCCTGCCCTGCCTCAGGAGGGCAGGGTCAACTTCCTCCCAAAGCAGGTAGGCCATGAGGAGGGGAGCTTATCTGAATGAAAGCCTTAGTAATCTCAAGAGGGGAACAGAGGCATCGGATTGCCAAACCTCTGCTGCATAAACTAGAAAAGCACACAGTAGAAATTGTAGGTAAGAAAACTGGATGTAAGTGAAAGACTTTCATTCAGTATTCAAACAGATTACTGTTTAAATCTTTTAGAACAAGAATGTCTTCTTGTTTTATTAGTATAAATGGAAAAATAAAAGCGTGTGTGGAAACTGACCAGAAAGAAGCCCGGGGGTAAAGGGGAATTGGGGTTGTCACTGTTAACCCAGGTGCCAGCAGCCTTCGGAGGTCAGGATGCTCCTCATAACCACTATTTCTGAAAGAGTTAAGGAAAATGGGGGAGGGAGACAATGTGATGGGAGCTGTGAGTGAGTAGATAAAAGGTATCCTAGTTCAAGATCTTTCCATTCTTTCACACTCAGACCAGTGGCTTTCCTTGGCTTCTAAGGGTACTGGTTTCAGATAGCACCTTTCTGTTACCACTTAGGGTGGCTGATTTACAATACACCTGAGGGCCACAGGTTTCCTGTTGACTCAACTTGGGCTGAGACCTCAGATCCCCCAGGCAGAATGCTCTGCTTCACTTTGTCAGGTGGCTCTGTGGGTTCCAATATCTCCTGGGAATCAATAGTAGGATTATTGACCTTAGCACCATCCTTGGTAAAATTTTCTCTATCTCGATATTTTTATAGTATATTTGTCTTAATTAATATTTTTGCAATTAAATCCTATATGGCTCTTATTTTGGTGTAGGTTTGTGAGTATCCCTGAGAATACAGATTAGAGATGCAGTAAAACCTAGTTGTCAGATGTTCAGCCTACCTGACCGCTGAACCTGAGCAGAGTCCTGGAGGCCAGACCTGTGCTGGACAATGGCCCTGCTCCCACCCAGAGCACCCCAAATGACACTGTATTGCACCTTCCTCAGGTAGCAAGAAAGAATAATATTGAGGACAAGAGATGGCCTGATGATTTCTTTTAATAAAGGCTGCGCTGAGGTGCATTTTGATACATTTTCTTACTTGCAAGTCCTTATCAGATTTTTTTTAATTCTTTTATTTTTTAAATTTTTTTAGCTGTAGATGGACACAATACCCTTTATTTATTTATTTATGTTTATGTGGTGCCGGGGATCGAACCCAGTGGCTCATGCATGCTAGGCAAGCGATCTACAGCTGAGCCACAACCCTGGCCCCCTTTATCAGATTCTGACATACCATTTGACGTTAACAAAGTTAATGCTTGAATGCAGAAGAAACTTTGATACTCAGAACTCTGATGATATGCTTTCATCAATGACTTTGATGTTTAAAAGCATATCCCACCAAGATAGAATCCTGTGGTAGAAGAATAAAAAGCATTTTTCAGGAGAATAATGATCAGGGCAAACTTTCCAACTGGTAAAAGGCTTCAGTATATTTAAAATGAATCAGGGTAGGTACAAATTCACTATGGTACTAATGACCTGTGGGTCCATCTAAGATTTTTGTAGCCACTTTATTTTCAAAACGGTACTCATCAGAATCTACTTCCTTTGTAACTATTTAAATTTATAATTTAAAAACCCTTTAATATCAACCCAATAATGTGTTAGGGGAATATGCAGCATTCTTTCAGTGAGCATCTAAATTTTTTTTAAGTTTGTCCCACTATAAGCACTCTCTCAGCTACCGACCTCCACTCAACTTGGGCTGAGACCTCAGATCCCCCAGGCAGAATGCTCTGCTTCACTCTGTCAGGTGGCTCTGTGGGTTCCAATATCTCCTGGGAATCAATACATAGGATTACTGACTTTAGCACCATCCTTGGTAAAATTTTCTCTATCTCAATATTTTTATTTAAGATGAATCAGGGTAGGTACAAATTCACTCTAGCTTCAGTCTGGCTAACAGCACCCTAAAGTTTCATCTTTTGTATCACTTCACTGGTAAGTCTTCTTTGCCCCCAGACTAAATTAGCTCTCCATGACATATGCTCCCATGGTACCCTGGTTTCCCCCTTTCTATCCCACGTGGATCCCTGTTAAAAGCAGCACCAGGAACAAAGAAGAATCAGTGTGTCCAGTGTCAACCAGGCTCCCAGCAGTCTGCAGAGGTTGGATGTTCCTTAAGAAGCACCATTTCTGGCTGGGGTAGAGCGCTTGCCTCACATGCGTGAAGCACAGGGGTCAATCCTCAGCATCACATATAAATAAATAAATAAAGATATTGTGTCAATCTATGATTAAAAAAAAAAGATTTCAGCAACCGTGGAAAAAGGAAAATGGACTCTGACCAAAAGGGATTAAGCAAAACTCAAGATGAGGAAGCAGAAAAGGGGATGTGAGTTGATGATTAAGAAGTCTGGATGGGAAAGGAGAAAACGGAGAAAAAAAAAAAAGAGGGGATAACTCCCCAAAATTAACATATTTGCACAGACACATTTATTCACTTTTGACTATAGATCCTAATGTGAAGACAGCCTGTCTCTATACTTTTTCCTAATGAAGGGAAGTCTAGTCTCAACTTGTTAGGGCAGACGGATCTTCAAGGTTGTGGATGCTTGTCTATCACCTCCCCAGTTTACAAAAATATTTACTTTATAGATTCTCCAAGTGTAGGTAAGTACTTTAAGCACCACACACAAAAATATGAGGCTCCAAAAAAAAAAAAAAAAACCTGCAAAGGTCTAATATAAAATCAACTGTTGGAAACATCCTGTTCCGTACGCACAAACATGCCATTATCATCATTCCTGTGATGGAAGAAAGACAGGCCTAACCCTGCAACTCCCTAGTGAGACCGACGGGAACAGCCCATCTCCTGCGCCGGCTGGGCAACGCCGAGGAGGTGCGCGTCCCTTGCCTGGCCTTGGCAGACCACGAGGCCGAAAGCCGCCTGCCACTTGTCCGCGCAGGGACCTCTGATAGCGCTCGGAACAACCACTGTCACCATTCGAACTGCGTCTCGTTGACCTTCCCACAGGGCGCTGGACAAACGTTCGCGACACACACGAGGTCCGGCGCGTTCCCGGGGCTCCCCAAACGCGCGCGTCTCGGCGGCTGCGCTCCTCCAGGGGCTCGCAGGGAGCACCCAGGGACCCCCGGGCGTACCGGCAGGAGGGCGTGTTCCAGGCAGCCCGAGGGTCGCTCAAACCAGCTGGGCGAAGGTCCAGCGAGGGGCAGACGGGCGCTAGCCACTGCTCGGCCCACACCCACCTTGCCCCGGGTGCTCCCAGTCACCGCCTCCCTAAGCGCATCTGCAGCCGCTCATCGGGGGGAGCATGCGCAGTGGCGAGAACCCGCCCCAGCGCACCCGGGCGGCAGTTTCAACTCAACCGTCAGTGGGAACTGGCCAATCGGAGGGCGGTTTTCCAGGCAGAGACACGCCCCTGGCGGGAACGACGGTGACGGGTGGCCAATAGGAAGAAGCGTTATTGCCGCGGAGCCCCTCCCCGGCAGGGGACCTAGTGACGGGCGAGGGTCAAGGGGTGTCACCGCTCCTGAGCAGCGAGCTCCGCAGGGCCACGCGTCCCCTTGCGCGGCGGCCACGAGCAGCGCGCCGGCCCGCACTCCCAGTCGGCGCCCCGGCGGCGGCGCGGCCCATGCGGCTGGGGACGGAGGCCGGGAGCGGGTGGCGGGCTCGGCTTCTCGGCGGCCGGGGCCTGGGAGGTGAGGGGGCGGCGGCGCGCCCGGCCCCGCGCCGTGATTGGCCGCGCGCCGGCCGCGGCTGAGGCCCGGCGCCGGGCGGGGAGGACAGGCGGAGCCCCGGCCGCCGAGCCGGGAAGATGCTGCTGTCCCTGGTGCTCCACATGTACTCCATGCGCTACCTGCTGCCGAGCGTCGTGCTCCTGGGCTCTGCGCCCACCTACGTGCTGGCCTGGGGGGTCTGGCGGCTGCTGTCCGCCCTCCTGCCAGCCCGCATCTACCAGGCGGTGGACGACCGGCTGTACTGGGTCTACCAGAGCACGGTGCTCTTCTTCTTCGAGAACTACACCGGGGTGCAGGTGAGCCCCTTGGCCCCGCGGCGCCGCTGCGTCCACCTGAGCCCCCACCCGGGGTTTGGGATCACTCTGGCCTTCTTGGCAGGTCCAGCCCAAGAACACGTGCTAGCACCCATCCTCCCACGGGTGGGGGGGGGCGGAGGTTTCTCGTTTTCACTCTGAGGTTCCTTGCAGGTCCCCGAGGTCTCTCGGAGGCGGTAGTAACGTCGTTCCGAGGCTGCCACCGGGGTCCTCCGCCGCCGCCCGCGTCCCCGCCCCCTGCCCGGGTCTGGTGTTTCTGTCTGTCTTGGTGCCTGGCACAGTAGGTGAGATGAACACTTTAAGTAGGGCAAGCACTTGGCTGGTGTTTTTGGCATTTCATCCAAGAAGGTGATAGTGTTGGAACAGGATCCGTTTTCACTCAGAAGTGCGTTTTAAAAGGACCTCTTGCAACTGATGTTACCATTTGGAGGATGAATAAAACTCTTTTTTGCGTTTTTCCCCAGAGCAAGTGAGAGCTGGGTTAGGAAATGAATACATTTGTTACGGTAGAAGCCTTACTGTAGATACAGCTGCTCTTGCCAACTTTGACTAGGTCTGAATGTGGGTCTGATCTTTGGTCTGATTGCTTTCTCCCTGTTAGTTTTTTTCTCTATACAGATAGGATTTGTAGATTAAACTTGCAAAACAATAAAAGTAGAAGGTCTTAACAACATTAGTTATCTTAAAATATGTGAAGTATCTTAAACATGTGAATTGTCCTTTTACTTCTCAGATTCAAAGAAGAGGTTGATTCTTGGTTCTTCTGAGTGCCCTATTAGCCTCTTCCTGCGGTCCCTGCCGTCCCTCCTGGAGGTCAGGTGGGCACGCCCGGAGACTTTCATCTCCAGTCTTTCTGCATTTCTTTTTCTTCATCCTGTAGTCAGCTGGCAGCTACATTGGATTTGCAGTTGAACGATTGATTTCTTATTGAATTTGCTGCACTTGGAGATTATTTGTGGGGAAGGAAACTAGGAGAGGCCAGGGTCTCTATTTAAATCAGTATCTTTTAAGCGTTTCTGGGAAAGAAAGAAAAATTGCTGTTCCAGATCATAGTTTCTTGGAAATTGACTTTTAAAATGGACTTCACATAAAATTTTCACAAATTAAGGATGATCAGTTCACCCCAGGCTCTTACTTCACTCAGTTAGTTTAAAGGTATGGTTTTATCATGGTTAAGTTTTTAATTTTGCATCAAATGACAACTCAGAACACGTCAGTCACCTTTTGGAAAATTTGTTCTACCTGTGATGGGTTGTTTTACTTTTGTCTAAAAAATAGTGTGTTCCACACAGTGTAATGTAGAATAAGACATTGGAGTCTTTTGTGTTAGCAATGTATTTATTTAAACTATTGTAAAACTTCACAGTATTTCTGAAATTACACACTTTACCTTGTGTATTGCTGACTAAAATGTGTCATTCTTGGGACAGTCTAGCAAATGGTTTTAAAACATTTAACTTACTGATTTTGTCCCGTTATTTGTAGTAAAAGGGTCCAATATCCATTCATAATCTTCATGTATTCATGAAAGGATGTCTGCTGTATAACTCAAAATTTTACTTAATGAGTATCCCTTGATAAAGCTTGTCAGGGATCCTAAGTGTAATTGCTCACTGATCATCAGAGGCAGTTTGTGAACAGTTATTAAAAATGTAGACCGAAGAATTTTTTTTGAAGGCATTATTTGCTGTTTAGTGACAAAGCAGGGTATTTTGAATGTTTTAGTCTTTTTCTAAAATCTGGGTGTCCTGTGTAAGCAGGGCTACCTTATAATATTTTATTGATGGTTTTCTTTAAGAATAAATCAATAAAGGAATAAATAGCTAACTTCAAATATAAAAGGAAAAAGATTTATAGGTACATTCTTTCACCTTATTTTTATTTTTTAACCTATTATTTTTCACCATTGACTGAGATGTTTTGATTAAAATTTTAGCTTTTCTTTTTTTTGACTAACTTTGAATTGTCAGTCTTCATTTACAAGGCTGTTGGTGATCCTCTTATTCTGTCTAAAATACTGTTGACTCATTTCAGAAGCAAATTTTAGTAATTTAAGAGAATGTAAGTTTTTAAATAAAACTCATCAGGTTATACACACTGAAGAAGCATTTTTAGATTAGAATATTTAAAAAGATTTTTTTAGTTGTTGATGGACCTTTATTTATTATGTGGTGCTGATGTTTGAACCCAGTGCCTCACTCGTGCTAGGTGAGTGCTCTACCACTGAACTACAACCCCAGCCCAGATTAGACTATTTTAAAAATGGCACTTCTGTGCCTTTTAATTTTAGGTTTGAAAGGAAATTTTTCATAGTAGTTGTTGTGGAATATCTTTTTTTTTTTTTTTTTTTGCATAGAATTTTATAAGCTGAAGGGAAGTAGGTCCATGAATTTTACCACCTGTTCTTGGCAGGAAGATCTGCTTCCAGCAAGTTTCTTGGATATCCCACTGGAGTCAGGTAGACATCTGTTCTTCCCTATTTTCATATGTATCTTTGAGATAGGAAAAAATTTCAATCAATGTTATTAAAATTATTATTTATAACTTGTTTATCCTTTTAGGTTCTTCCATAGCCTCTCATTAGTACTGAAACTCTGTACTAGTATACCTTTACTCTTTATTCCTTTGGAATATATAAAATGAATTTTTAAAATTTTGTGCATGCCACTTAATTTTAGATTAATTGAAAATCAACATGAGTCTTTTTACTATTGTGAGAGACATTGATTCAGCCAGGCATGGTAGTGCATGAGGCAAGAGGATCCCAAATTCCACTTCAGCTTGGGAAATTTGTGAGACCCTGTCCCAAAAGAAAAGAAAAAAGAGGGGGATCCTGGAGATGTGGTTCAGTAGTAGAACAGTTGTCTAGCATGAACCAGGCCCTGTGTTCCATCCCCAATACTGCCAAATCAAATTAAAAAGAAAAAGGCATTGATTTAAGTGTATAATTTTCTTGTCGACTGCCATAACAGAACACCTCAAACTTAGGTGCTTAAACACATTTATTCTTACAGGTTTGAGGCTAGAAGTCTGAAATTTAAATGCAGAGTAGGGAATAATCCCTCTAAGAAGATGCTCCGGGAGGAGAACTGTTCTTGGTCTCTTTCAGCTTCTGGTTGCTGACAACATTCTTTGACTTGAGGCCACATCCCTCTAGTTGCTCTCTCATGGTCCAGTACAGTGAATTGCCTTCAGCTCTGATTCACAGCTCCCTCTGTCTTTCTCTTATAAGGACACTTGTCCTTGGGTTTGGATCTACCCGCATAATCCAGGATGATCAGCTCCTGTCAAAATTCTTACATAAATATTTCCAAAGATCAGTTTTCCAAATAAGGAAACATTCATGAGCTCCCAGACTTAAAACATAGATGTGCTTTCCAGGGCCACCATTCAGCTCTGACAGTAGTGAATGCCATGGTTCTGTCTGTTCAGTGTTTTGTTGTTCTGACCCTGCTAGAGGGATGTCCTATTGAATTATTTACTTTTCAAAAAAAAAAATTAGGTTTTTACTTTATTTAGCATACATAAACCTTGTTTATGCTAAGGGTACTTTCAAAATCATTTTCCATAGTATTTTCATTTCTTAATTATATATTTACCTTCACATATCCCATAAATATTTGATTAGTTGTCTTATTTTCAGAATCAGTAGCAGTTTCTTATTCACGTTTTAATATTCTTTTAATTCTTGATTCTGGAATTATCATTTTCTGATAGTATACCCCACAAAGTCCCAAAAAACCCACAAAATGAAACAAAACTGGAAACCTGATAAATTAGAGATAATATAACTTCTGGGTCGAGACATTATTATACATAATTTGAAGATGAAATAAAAACCTTCCTTGATAAACAAAAGTTAAAAGAATTTACAGCTAGAAAACCAGCACTAAACATCCTTGGCAAAATATTTCATGAAGAGGAAATGAAAAACAACAATGAAAACCAGCAGAGGGAGGTAGTACACTAAAAGAAAAATTAATCAAAGAGGAAAACCAACAAGTTAAATAACAAAAATAAACAAATATGGCTGGAAATACAAACCATGTCTCAATAGTAACCCTAAATGTTAATGGCTTAAACTCACCAATCAAAAGACATAGGCTAGCAGATTGGATTAAAAAGACCCAACAATATGCTGCTTATAGGAGACTCATTTGATAGGAAAAGACATCACAGACTGAAGGTGAAAGGTTGGGAAAAATCATACCACTCACATGGACTGCGGAAGCAAGCTCCATATTCATATCAAATAAAGTAGACTTCAAGCCAAAGTTAACCAAAAGGGATAAAGATGGACATTATATACTGCTCAAGGGAACTATACACCAACAAGACATAACAATCAGAAATATATATGCCCCAAACAATGGTGCAGCTATGTTCATCAAACAAACTTAAGTTCAAGAGTCAGATGACCACAACACAATAATCTTGGGTGATTTTAACATACCTCTCTCACCACTGGACAGATCTTCCATACAAAAGTTGAATAAAGAAACTGTAGAGCTCAATAACACAATTAATAAATTAGACTTAACTGACATATATAGAATGTATCAACCAATATCAAGTGGATATGCTTTCTTCTCAGCAGCACATGGATCCTTCTCAAAAATAGACCATATACTATGCTTCAGGGCAACTCTTAGCAAATACAAAGGAGTAGAGATACTACCATGTATTTTATCAGATCATAATGGAATAAAATTGGAAATCAATGATAAAACAAAATAAAAAATACTGCATCACATGGAGACTGAACAATATACTACTGAATGAACAGTGGGTTACAGAAGACATCAAGGAGAAGATTAAAAAATTTTTTCTTAGCGGTTAATGAGAACACAGACACAACATATTGAAATCTGTGGGACACTATGAAAGCAGAACTAAGAGGAAAATTCATTGCATGGAGTTCATTCCTTAAAAGAAGAAAAAGTCAACAAATAAATGACCTCACACTATACCTCAAATACTAC